ATCACTTAAGGGTAATTTTTTCCTTAAAATATAGAGTGCTTAAAACTTAATTTTATTTATGAGATTAATTCATTTAACTATATGTGTCGTAATTTATTCCCATGTAGACTATTCCATTTAACTATATTTGTGGGAATTACCATTTGCATTAGAGTATGTATATAGCTTATTAGGATATCTAAAAATTGAGAACAATTCTGAAATAATCTGATACAATGTAAAGACTGTAAAGATAAGTCAATATGAGTATTTTCACTCTAAGATATGTCTTTCAAAAATTAACTATGTCCCAAGATTATAACACAGAAACAACACAAATTAAAATACACTAATTAAAAACTTACCTGCGTTGATCACTTAAGGGTAATTTTTTCCTCAAAATAAATTTCAACCTGTTCAAGCTTTCATTTTAACTCATGCATGCAATTCTTTCCTTGCGATAATTTTCTTGCAAACTTCACAACTCTTATAGCCATTTGAGCAGCAGTTAAGAAGGAAAATCTCTACTGCCTAGACTTTACTCAAGCAGTCCCCTGCCTTTAGTATGAAGAAATAAACAAAAAAGAAAGTTAGTTAAGACTTCAAATTGGACTTACAATGCTCATCTTAACCAAGCAATTTAAATGAGCAACTTATAGGCAATTTATATATCCCCAATTTTATTTACAGATTTCCCCAATTTGAAGAGAATGTAGAAATATCATGCAAATTAAATGTGTGAAGTTTTCATCATAAGGAAGATGATAAAAAACAAGTTAAAATAAATTAACTGCACAATGAAATAAACATGCAATTCCTCAGAGTGCTCCCTTTCACCAGAATAAGAGCACGTCTTCATAGCATCTTTGTACATTTTGTCCTTTTTTATAAATATCAAGCAATTCCTCAGACTGTTTCCATCTTCCAGCTTTCTTATAAATATACGCAGCAACCCGTCTCATTTCAAGAAGCTCATGCTTTTCAATCTGCTTGCACACAAGAAAGATTTGACATACAAATTTCCTGTTTGTACTTAGCAAGCTGTAGATTCACTATTTTAAAAAATAGCAAGCTGTAGTTATCATGCAACTCAATGGATTCCCTTATCCTTTCATAATCTTCTTCTTCAACATAGATTTCCCTTAGCCTTTCATAATCTTCTTCTTCAACATAGATTTCATTCAAAGCTTCATTCACAGCAGATACATTATTGCTCTGTACCACGACCATATATGATTTCACAAGATGCAAGTGACCAGCCTGGAACCAGGAGAAATGGCGAATACAAATGGGTTAGCATGAAATATTTAACTTGTGATTGTAAATAAATCTACCACAAAAAAAGAATTTTCAAAAGCACTACAAAACATCATTTGATAATATAACTCTGAATTGAAATAGGATAGGAAACGTCTTCAAATTAGTAACGAATAATTTCACTGAAATATAGATACAAACCCATTTCTAGCATGTAATTTATTCCCATGTAGATTATTTCATTTAGCTATATTTGTGGGAATAAAAAGAATAAAGAGCGACCAAATTTAGGGTTCCGTAATTCGTGAGATGAGATAGATCAACCAAATTTAACGAATCTAGAATGAAATTAAGCATAAAAAATACCAAAAATAGGGAAACAATCGATTAACAATATTTCATGGTTTTGATAAGAAATTATTCATCAACTAATCAACGAAAGGGAACATCATGCAGAAATTATACCTGTAATTTCCGAAATCTAACAAATCAAGCAAAAACCCGACGATTTCCCCTAAGAAAGGCATGGATTTTTGCAAAGCCGACAAAAAATAAAACGAAATTCGAGGGAGGAGTCGATGAAATTCCAGGGAGGAGTCGACAAAATTCGAGGGAGGAGTAGACGACGAGATTCGAGAGAAGTCGACGATGAAATTCAAGGGAGAAGTTGACGACGAAATTCGAGGGACGACGAGCTACGACGCAACAAGATTCGAAGGATGAGCTTTGAGGGAGGAGTGAGCAACCAGCTTCGAGGGAGAACAATGAATACCCAAGCTCTAGAATCCACTTGGAGTCACAGATATGAAGGAGAGAGAAAGAAGAGAGAAGAGCTCATATCTGAAAGTGGGGGGGAGAGGGAGAGGAGAGACGAACCGATCAGATCTGGAGGACGAGGTGAGGGGAGAGAGAGAAAGAGAGGAGAGAGCAGGCGATCAGATCTGGCTGGAGGAGGCTGATAGAACGAAGAAGAAAAGTGAAACCCTAGCTCTAGAATCCTCTCTCTTAGCTATTTATATGGATAGCCTTTGTAAATAAAATTTTAGAGAAATAATATTTAAAATAAATTAAATTAATAGGACTAAAATGCAAAAACTAATCGAATAGTTAATGGACTTCCGAAACAAACATACATTTTGTTAAATTCTATTCATTTATAAGCGGAATACTAAAAATTATTTGTTTAGTACTAAATGAACTACCGAACCGAACTTGATCGAATATCTAGACGAATAATAACCGTCATAAGACTATTTATATATGGGGAAGAAGCTGTAAATTTTTTTTTGATGGGTAATATTTGCAACAAGTTTAATTAATAGGATTAACATAAAAAGGTTACCGAATAGTTAATAATCACCCTGATCGAATATAACTTTAGTTAAATTCTATTTGTTTGTAAGTTGAATACTGAAAATAATCATTTAGTATTAAATGACCAGTCGGATCGAATGTGACCGAATATCTGGACGGATATTAAGCGAATTGTTTATTAAATATTTGGTTTGTTTCCACCCCTAACCATCATATACTGCTTTGAATTATTCCTCGACGCAAGCCTCAAATTAATCTGAATAATCATCAATGTAGACGAATGTATAAGCGTTAGATCACAAAAATTTTGGTAACTTATATTTTATATATTTTTAAATTTTAAATTTTAAATTTTAAGAGTATAATAATCAAATTAAATGTATTAAAACTTAGAGAGACGCAAATTTAAAATACAATGATAAAAAAATAAACGGCCGTGCTTTGATGTATTAAAACTTAGAGAGACGCAAATTTAAAATACAATGATAAAAAAATAAACGGCCGTGCTTTGCACGGGGTCCATACTAGTGACGCAAATTTAAAATACAATGATAAAAAAATAAACGGCCGTGCTTTGCACGGGGTCCATACTAGTGATTTTTATTTAGAGTTAAAATTGATATTATTTTTTATACACTGCATCGGAGAGGTGGCAGTTAAGATCGATTTGTTTTGCGCATCATTTGTGAGGTGTAGTTCTCTGAGCTTTGGGACACATTCACGTACCTCTTAACGAATTTTCATGAGTAAAAGCTTGAGAAAAGACAGTTCAAATCAAATGTATAATAATTGTTTGTTTGTATCTTCAAGTATAATGAGATTCATGTACCAATTGATGATTTGGATTGTTAATTTTTCGTTAATAGTGAGAAAGGGAAGTAATTTTACCATGGTATACATATCACTTACATCCTCAACTTCAATTATAATCCAAAGAAGAAAAATATAAAAGCTACATGTATTAGTTACTTCCTAATAATATACCCAATTTTTATCCAAAGAAACAAATAAAATAAGATGATGAAGTACTATTTCTGCTACTTCTAAAACTATATGTAACAAGCAAAATAAGTACTACTTCCGTTACTTTTACTTATTAATTAAGGAAGTTACTTTTTTGATCCACTTGAGAAAAGATGACAGCATTGTGAACGACACAGGATAATATGCATTTTCTCAGCTGCATTCGCGATTTCCCACACAAAATCCTCTGCAGGTTTAAGTTCCAACTACAAAAAAAAAAAAAAATGGCAACAGGTGAGTTGTTAAGAGTTGAAATTTGAATTGAAAAGTGAAGGAATGCAGCTGATCAATAAAGCATTATGGAAAGCCAAATAAATATTTTGATGCTTTCTTATCTTTCAATTAATACAAGGAGAGAACTGAATGATCATATGTACATGACTTGGTTCTCAGTTATCTCTCCATTTTCCAACACATGCCTCATACTGCAACATTGTTTACAGTGCATAAGGGACTGTTTGGTTGGCATTTTTTGCTCTTGTAAAGCTGTCAAAACTGACAAAAGCTGTTAGTTTTGGCAGCTTTACTTGTAAAAACGCTCAAAAATGGGCGTTTTTGCAAGTAAAGCTGCCAAAACTGACAGCTTTTGTCAGTTTTGGCAGCTTTACAAGGGCAAAAAATGCCAACCAAACAGCCCCTAAATAGCTCGTCCCTACGAAAAATCTTTAGATGAATACCATTAGAGCAACATGCCAATAGAGGAGTGCATTAGTGATTTTGAAAATTGAGGGGTAGAAAAACAAGGGAAAAATTGCAAAATAGACCGTTTTTACTAATTATTTAGCAAAATAGACCGTTTTGCTAAATAATTAGCAAAATAGACCTCTTTTTGGCCAACAGGCCAAAAATAGGTCTATTTTGCAAAACAACTCAGAAAACATACGGGACTAGTACTCCCGTATGTTTTAATCACGGATTAGTAAAATTTTCTACTCAGAAAACATACGGGACTACTAGTCCCGTATGTTTTCTGAGTCACTAATCCGTGATTAGTTGACTCTAAACATACTCCCGTATATTTTCTGAGTCACTAATCCGTGATTAGTTGGCTCTAAACATACGAGACTAGTAGTCCCGTATGTTTTTCGAGCCTTGTTTTTCAAAATAGACATTTTTTTTTTCAAAAGAGTTCTATTTTGCTAATTATTTTTCAAAGTGGTCTATTTCGCTATATATTTCATAAAAATGATCTATTTTGCAAATTTTCCCGAAAAACAAATGTGGGGAGGTTTTGAGATTAAATTTGCAAATACGGATTAGGGGCATAAAAAGCAGCCACGTGTGTGGGCTTCGTGACTTCGTCCAACGGCCAGGATTGCTTCTGCTCTTTTCTCAGGCGTCGCGGATTCCCAGCTCGCCACGATTCGAGTTGGACTCCGACAAGGAAACCAATGTATATAAATAATCTACCACCCTCTCTTTCTCTCTCTCTCTCTCTCTTTCTTATTCTCTTTCAAGTGCTTTCACTCTCTCTCTCTAGAATTCTTGAAATTTCTCTGCTGCTTGAAAATTTTGATGGCATCCGATCAAGGAGAAGCTTCGTCATCCTCCGATCCGTAAGTTTCAGCAACAATTTCATCAAATTCTTTTTTATAACTAGGTTTTTTAGAATTATGCTTATGGTTTTTTTTTTGTTTGGGTTTTTGTGATTACAGGAAAGGGGCGAAGAGGGATTTTAGCACGGCGATACTCGAGAGGAAGAAGGCGGCGAATCGGTTGGTTGTGGACGAAGCTGTGAACGATGATAACTCTGTCGTCTCTCTGAATCCCGAGACCATGGAGAAGCTGCAGCTTTTTCGCGGTGACACGATCCTTTTGAAGGTGTAATTTGTTAGGGAACTTAAAGCTAGGGTTTTGCTATGGCTTAGTTACTTTGTTTGTCATAATTCAGATAACTGTAGATAATAAGTAGTTATGATAATGAAAGCTGTTGATGAGCTAGATTCTTATATATTTTATTGTTAAGCAAAGCGTTTTAGAGCCGTTAACCAGTGGATGGGTCCTAGTTTTATTATGACGAGGCAAGATGTATTCAATTGACTTATGAAACTATAGATGTCATAGGAGATTGCAATTGTCATGACTTGATCAAGTTAATAAGCTCAAGAAAGTTTCTTTCGATTTTTTCCTTCTTAATAAGCTCGATAAAGTCGATGGTAAGTGTGAAGCCCGCTATGTTGAGTCCCACGTTGGGAACAAAGAGAAATTTGATGGTTTAAATAGTAAGTCTATGGAGCCAAGTGCAGCATTGGCTAGCCAATTTTGGCAGTGGTTTGAGCCGAACAACGCGCTACACTAGGTGGGTCCTATAGCTTACATGGCGCCAATAGCTGGGGCGTGACAGTAAGCATCGAATATTACAATATAGGCTTCCTTTAGAACTTCTAATCTGACTGTTGGGCTAAGTGGAGATTATACATAGGATTTTAGTTATTAATTACTTCAATTCTTATTCAATCCAAAATCGAGATAACAGTTTGGATATGAACTATTATTATAAAGATTAATATCTTCAATAAGAGTTGACCCCCTCATGTATGCCTCCAGTAGCACTTATCACCCGCACCTCCATATTAGCAGTTATCACCTTACGCCCAAGGATTTGTATTTTTAGAAGATCAAGTTGCATATAACCCCCTACCCCTCATGATTTTGGGGTCTAGATAAAATAGTTGGTGTATTCGGCAATATTTCTTTAGATAAAAGAGTTGTGTAGACTATGTTGGGATTTGCATCTTTTTAGAAAGTCTTCCTTCTTTTCTTTTGCTATCATATTCACGTGTCATCTTGTGTTATTTCTTGCTGTCCTCTTTCTTAATACTTGTGATCTTGTGATCTCAGGGGAAGAAACGTAAAGACACTGTTTGCATTGCCCTTGCTGATGAGACGTGTGAAGAACCATCCGATCCGTAAGTTTCAGCAACAATTTCATCAAATTCTTTTTTATAACTAGGTTTTTTAGAATTATGCTTATGGTTTTTTTTTTGTTTGGGTTTTTGTGATTACAGGAAAGGGGCGAAGAGGGATTTTAGCACGGCGATACTCGAGAGGAAGAAGGCGGCGAATCGGTTGGTTGTGGACGAAGCTGTGAACGATGATAACTCTGTCGTCTCTCTGAATCCCGAGACCATGGAGAAGCTGCAGCTTTTTCGCGGTGACACGATCCTTTTGAAGGTGTAATTTGTTAGGGAACTTAAAGCTAGGGTTTTGCTATGGCTTAGTTACTTTGTTTGTCATAATTCAGATAACTGTAGATAATAAGTAGTTATGATAATGAAAGCTGTTGATGAGCTAGATTCTTATATATTTTATTGTTAAGCAAAGCGTTTTAGAGCCGTTAACCAGTGGATGGGTCCTAGTTTTATTATGACGAGGCAAGATGTATTCAATTGACTTATGAAACTATAGATGTCATAGGAGATTGCAATTGTCATGACTTGATCAAGTTAATAAGCTCAAGAAAGTTTCTTTCGATTTTTTCCTTCTTAATAAGCTCGATAAAGTCGATGGTAAGTGTGAAGCCCGCTATGTTGAGTCCCACGTTGGGAACAAAGAGAAATTTGATGGTTTAAATAGTAAGTCTATGGAGCCAAGTGCAGCATTGGCTAGCCAATTTTGGCAGTGGTTTGAGCCGAACAACGCGCTACACTAGGTGGGTCCTATAGCTTACATGGCGCCAATAGCTGGGGCGTGACAGTAAGCATCGAATATTACAATATAGGCTTCCTTTAGAACTTCTAATCTGACTGTTGGGCTAAGTGGAGATTATACATAGGATTTTAGTTATTAATTACTTCAATTCTTATTCAATCCAAAATCGAGATAACAGTTTGGATATGAACTATTATTATAAAGATTAATATCTTCAATAAGAGTTGACCCCCTCATGTATGCCTCCAGTAGCACTTATCACCCGCACCTCCATATTAGCAGTTATCACCTTACGCCCAAGGATTTGTATTTTTAGAAGATCAAGTTGCATATAACCCCCTACCCCTCATGATTTTGGGGTCTAGATAAAATAGTTGGTGTATTCGGCAATATTTCTTTAGATAAAAGAGTTGTGTAGACTATGTTGGGATTTGCATCTTTTTAGAAAGTCTTCCTTCTTTTCTTTTGCTATCATATTCACGTGTCATCTTGTGTTATTTCTTGCTGTCCTCTTTCTTAATACTTGTGATCTTGTGATCTCAGGGGAAGAAACGTAAAGACACTGTTTGCATTGCCCTTGCTGATGAGACGTGTGAAGAACCAAAGATAAGAATGAACAAGGTTGTTCGTTCAAATCTCAGAGTGAGGCTTGGTGATGTGGTTTCAGTCCATCAATGCCAGGATGTTAAATATGGGAAGCGTGTGCACATACTACCAATTGATGATACTATTGAAGGCTTGACGGGGAACTTGTTCGACTCATATCTGAAACGTGAGTATTCTCTTCTTTCTTCTTCTTGATCTATTTAATATATGCCATGTTTGCTCAATACTATGTTGAATTTAGATTGGTTATTTATATTTCCTTCTCTTGTTGGTTTTTCATGTTTGATTTTATAGTTGACTATAAACTAATCATCATCCCCGTCATATTTTCATGTGTCTAACTGGAATTTCTTAGATATAGTTGTATCATTTATATTGGTTTTCAGTTATAAATCATGGAATCACCATCATGGTCTGTTGCCGTCAGTTTTTAAGAAGATCATCGAGAATCTTTTATGTGCTTATTTCTTAATAGACTAATATTTTTTATTTGAGTATGATTGTGAATGTCACCCACTAATTGTTTATGTTTAGCTCTGGTAATATGTTCAACCTCTTTCCAATTGCAACATGACTAATTTTTGGGTGGCAATAGATCCATAGTCTGGGAAGTTCCTTTATTTCTGAGATCTCTTTTAACTTGTCTTATGCAACTTGGGTACGGACCAATTTGTTTGTGCTAGAACTTCTAGTCATGACCTTTTTCATTTTCATGTGTTCTGCAGCATACTTCCTGGAAGCATATCGACCTGTTAGAAAAGGAGACCTTTTCCTTGTAAGAGGAGGCATGAGATCTGTTGAGTTTAAGATTATAGAAACCGATCCCCCAGAGTACTGTGTTGTCTCTCCTGACACAGAGATCTTTTGTGAAGGAGAACCTGTGAAAAGGGAGGATGAGGATAGACTTGATGAGGTAGGTTATGATGATGTTGGTGGTGTACGAAAACAAATGGCTCAAATCAGAGAGTTAGTTGAGCTTCCTTTAAGACACCCTCAACTTTTCAAGTCAATTGGTGTAAAACCACCAAAAGGGATTTTGTTATATGGGCCTCCTGGCTCTGGAAAGACTCTCATTGCAAGAGCAGTTGCAAATGAGACTGGCGCCTTTTTCTTTTGCATTAATGGTCCAGAGATCATGTCCAAACTAGCTGGAGAAAGTGAGAGCAACCTTAGGAAGGCTTTTGAAGAGGCAGAAAAGAACGCACCGTCAATTATATTTATTGACGAGCTTGATTCAATTGCTCCCAAGCGAGAAAAAACGCATGGGGAAGTCGAGAGGCGTATTGTCTCACAACTGCTGACACTGATGGATGGATTGAAAGCTCGTGCTCATGTCATAGTCATGGGAGCTACAAACAGACCGAATAGTATTGATCCAGCTCTTAGAAGGTTCGGGAGGTTTGATAGGGAAATTGATATTGGAGTTCCTGATGAAGTTGGACGACTGGAGGTTCTTCGTATTCATACAAAGAACATGAAGCTAGCTGAGGAGGTAAGACTAATATCACTGAGCACCCAGTGTTACCTTTTTCTTGTTTACATAGACTCAATTTGATTGAACTGTAATATTTGCATATAAACAAATGCAGGTTGACCTGGAAAGAATTGCTAAGGACACACATGGGTATGTCGGAGCTGATCTCGCTGCACTATGCACTGAAGCTGCCCTTCAGTGCATACGAGAAAAGATGGATGTCATTGACTTGGAAGATGAGACCATAGATGCAGAGATACTTAACTCTATGGCTGTCACTAACGAACATTTCAAGACTGCTCTTGGAACAAGTAATCCGTCTGCACTTCGTGAAACAGTAAGTGACATGACCAATTTTCTCAAAGATTTTTATGCCCTCTCCATTGTTGAACTATTACTGATATAACTTATTATTTTATGACTAATCAACAGGTTGTTGAAGTGCCTAATGTCAGCTGGGATGATATTGGTGGTCTAGAGAATGTGAAGAGGGAACTGCAAGAGGTAAACGATTTAGTTACGTGTGATTATTTTTTCATTATTTTCCTTATTTCCTCTAGCCATATTGTTCATCTCTTGTTCTTCAATGCAGACTGTTCAATATCCAGTCGAACATCCTGAGAAGTTTGAGAAGTTTGGCATGTCACCTTCAAAGGGTGTGTTGTTTTATGGGCCTCCTGGATGTGGCAAGACTTTGTTGGCCAAGGCAATCGCCAACGAATGCCAAGCAAACTTTATCAGCGTGAAGGGGCCGGAACTGCTCACCATGTGGTTCGGTGAAAGTGAAGCAAATGTACGCGAAATTTTCGACAAGGCTCGCCAGTCTGCACCCTGTGTCCTCTTCTTTGATGAGCTGGACTCCATTGCAATGCAGGTTTGTTTTGAAAATTATATATTCCAGTTTTTTTGATATACCTCTTAAATCATGTGTATGCAAAACTACCATCCTCGCAAACGCCCCCCCGGGATAGCCCCCCCGCTCCAACCTTCCTATCTCAGTATTTACAAAATTATTCCCAAAATCATCAACTTCGGAAAAGATTAAATACCTGGTAGGCTAATTTGAAACTGCAATATAAAAAATATCAACAAAATAGTCAAGCTTTTATTCACCATGTCTAATAAAGTTGATGATCTACTGATTTGGGGGTTAGTTTTAGGAGTTCTCACTACTAAAAGGATATATACACAAAAAACCTTATATTCAAATGTTAATTATGTTTCAGATTGTTCTCTTTTTTGCTCATTGAGGTTGGTATCTTTATTCTCAGAGGGGCGGTAGCGTTGGAGATGCGGGTGGTGCAGCTGATAGAGTTCTCAATCAACTCCTTACCGAGATGGATGGAATGTCTGCTAAAAAAACCGTTTTTATTATCGGGGCAACAAACAGGCCTGATATTATAGATCCAGCGTTGCTCAGGCCTGGTCGTCTTGACCAGCTAATTTATATACCTTTGCCAGATGAAGCCTCTCGTCACCAGATATTCAAAGCTTGCCTGCGGAAATCACCAGTTGCCAAAGATGTTGATCTGGTGGCTCTTGCCAAGTATACTCAAGGCTTTAGTGGTGCAGATATTACTGAGATTTGCCAACGTGCTTGCAAGTATGCAATCAGAGAAAACATCGAGAAGGTAAGAGTCTTTTCTTCTAATTTAGTAGTTGGAGATATACATCTATCACGGGTTTCATTTGGTCTTGAATATTTTATCCATATGCCTCGTACTGGAAGTAGCGTGGAGCGAGCCTATAGATCATACAAAATCACATAACATACGATATCGTTCTGTTGCATCTAGTCTTTTTGAATTTTTGTGTTCTTATATCTTGGCAGCTAACTAATTTCGTAGATTATAGCATCTTAGAAGTCATTTTTAGAAAGCTCCAAGCCAACTTTTGCTTTTGACCGTTGCTTTGCTAACTTGGTATTGGACCTTGTGAATTATTTTCCCTCAAAATTGCACCAGTTAAAAACTTTCAGAAGTAGGTATGAAGTTATTATCTCTGTACCCCAGTACTTACCTTAACCTTTTCATACTTCTAAACTTGTCTCCTCATCTATGGGAAATAACAGTCGCTTAAATGCCTCACCATGTTTCGTCTCTCATAGATGTAGTTAGTTGTTTGGGAATTTTTCAAGTGTGACTGCTTATTGTTATCATTGTGCTTGGCCTGGTTAGTATAATCTGTAATTGAATAGTAAATAGAGGTTTGTAACTTTTTTAGCTGTAAGGTGAACCTTTTTGCTTTATTCCATTTCCCTCCTTTCCTTGGAGGTATCTCTAACACTACAATGGAACAGTTACAAATTAGGTATCTCTGACACTACAATGGAACAGTTACAAATTGATCCCTGCATCTTTTTCCCCTTTCCACATTTTAAAAGTTTTTTTTATAACTTTTTAATCTTCTACATGCAGGACATTGAAAGGGAAAGGAGGAGAAGCGAGAACCCAGAGGCAATGGAAGAAGACGACAACGACGAAGTTGCAGAGATCAAAGCAGCTCACTTCGAAGAATCCATGAAGTTTGCGCGAAGGAGCGTGAGTGATGCCGACATCAGAAAGTATCAGGCGTTTGCGCAAACCTTGCAGCAATCAAGAGGGTTTGGTACTGAGTTTCGTTTCGCAGAACGGTCTGAAACTGCTGCAGAGCTGCAGCTGACGATGATGACTTGTATAGTTAGGTTGAGGTTATGGGTGTGTAGCATATAATAAATCTGCTTCCTATGTTGCTTCTTCTTGTGTTGTTTGTTTTGACGCTCAGCACTGTTAAGTTAATCTAATAAGTTGTGGACCTTTTACAATTTTTTTTTTCAGTGCTCATTTGTTGACAGTGGCTTTGGATAGATTATTTTAGGAGGGAATAATTAGTTCTTATTTAATAATTCTCCAAATGATTTTTCTAATGGGTGCTCATTAGGGGATGAAAGAAACATAGAAAAATGAATAGCAAGTGGGTTCCTTCAATGCTGTTGATTGGCAAGTGGGTTCCTTCAATGATGTAGATGATGGACATTGCATATTGGAAAATGATGATTGTATGAGAAATTACGGTACTACTATTATACATCCACTAATTGTGGGGTTCTCCTTTTGAAAATTATCTTTCTAATACGAAGAAAACTTGTGAGTCATTATGAACCCTACATTTTTTATTATAGGAGTATAAAAATAATATAAGTTTTGTAATACAGTTATTATTGCACATTATCTCTAGGGATAATCTACGTCTAATTTATGATTATCTCTAGGGATAATCTACATCTAATTTATGATCTAAAGACATCTAATTTATGCTCTAAAGTGCTGGAAAACAGAAATTTCTTGCACTGTACCCATTTAGTATTGTCAAATAGCGTATATGTGTAGATATACTATAAAGCGGGTAACCGGATCATGATTAATTGCTCGTAGACGACCTCCTTTAATACTTCTGTTTTGTCTTATTAGCCCTATGGTTTTGCCTAAGTATATAGATCTCTTGGGTTAAAACTTTTTTGACTCTTTTATCCTGGGTGAAATTTTGGCAGATAGTGCCACCAAGTGAGATTGATCAGTCTATCTGGTGGTAAACAGTCAAAAAGGTTTCATCTAGGGGCCCATCTGCCAATATGAAACTAATAGGGGGTGCTAAGCAGTGGCGTAGCCAGGATTCTTTTTTACTCTAGGCGAAAAATAAAGGTGGTCTACGAATACGTCGTGAATCAAACTCCTTTACCATTTCTTATGTGTCGAGGTTAGAAGTAATTTCTTTTTCAATATAAAATATCATGTTATGAGCAAGCAATACATCTCCCATCTTATTGCGCAATAATATTTTTATGAGTTTCATTGTCGAAAATGTTTTTTTCGTGTTTGCAGTCGAAACAGGAAGAGTCAACACGAGCCGAATCAAATTCTTTTATAATGTACAGTGCTTGTTCTAAAGTACTAATTAATTTCTTTTCATTTTGCTTAACAACTTAGCTCAGTTGCTCATAAAAGGTTAATACCCGTCGTCACAAGTGTTTACTTTTGAATGACCCCTTCACACAAGATGCAGTTCTTACCCTGGGTAGTTGCCCAGGGCAAACCCTTACTGGCTACGCCTCTGGTACTGCTAAGTCGTTTTTCAGACAACGTTACCGACGAGGGGGGTTATGTGCAATTAACCCTTTCTCCATTTAAATCCAGATTTATTGTGGGAAATGGGTTGAATGCGGATCCGAATATTTTATTCGGATCCAGATATGAGACATATTTATTGTATTCGACCCGACCCGTTTTCATAATAATAGAGCAAAGAGAGGACGAGAAAAATAAATATCTGGAGGAGGCGCGAAGATAAGAGGAGGCGGTGAAACGGCGAAATTCACAGGCCGTCCTCAGCTTTGGACGACCGAAAAAAAAAATGGAGCGGACGCTGCTCACTTCCCCATCGACTCCATGCTTTCCGAAAATGGGTAATTTACTGAATTCAATTCCTCAGTCTAATTATTGAACGATTTCGTAAACAAATTCAAGCTATACCATTTGGATTTTCGATCTTGTGTGCTTAGAGCTTGAATGGGCTGATGTCTAACTAAATGCTCGAGAGGTGTTTGTAGAAATGCTTAGATTGGGAGACTGCAGGTCTAGTTGTTGTTATTGTTGTTGTTGTTGTTATTTGAATGAATTAATAGTTTGAATAGAAAATAAATTTATTATCTTAAAAGGATTCTGGTCTCCAAACTCACCCATGGAATTACAAAGAATCACAAACAACATCCCTAAAGTTTCATGTCTAATGATCATGGATTTCTATGAGGTTCCACTGCGTATGCCTTTTTCGATGACATTGTAATTTGCATTTGCGTAATTGAAAGCACACGTTCTCCAAATAAGGATGGTTTTGTTTATGCCTGAAAGTTAATTTGTGGGTTAAGTGGAGTTTTGCGAGAGATTAGGGGATCCTTAATCTCGTCCAATGACTGATCAGGTTGGGAAAGGTAGATCCCTGCACATGTAACAAAAACGTTAGAGGCCTCAGAGGAGATTTCCTCTGGCGTGCCCTCCAACGTTTAAGTCGGTGACTGATAAAATCAGTATGAAGAGAAATATAGAGCTAAGTTTAGGGTTCCGACTGTTCAGACCTCATAATGGTGGGAATGGCTTATATTTTTAAGAGAGTGTGAGGGCGAATTGGTAATCTGACTCGACCAGCGAATGTGACATTTGACTTATACTTTACACAAATCGACGATCGATAGGGCGAGTTCTCAGGAGTTAGTCCTATCGCATTTAATGAGACAACGTCAGGGTGACGAAGTACGGACGCCGTCCGAGGAGTCATTATTACACCTGACCAGACATTTAATGTGATGGCGACTGGGTGGCGGGGTATGGGCGTCATCTGGCAAGTCATCATAATGCTGGTTGTGCACTAAATGCGAGCATTGCTGACAGGGCGGTCGACATTTATTCCCTTTCCTCGTGATGAACACTTTATGGTGGAGTCCGACCTAAAGACGCCTTTCGACTCGGACTAGGATTGTTAGAGAAGTCGGCTGGTTTAGTTGGGCATGACTATGTCCCAGTTGGGGTTATGGTCATATGATCTGGCCTGTATGACTGACATGTAGCCAGTTCTCGAAGATTTGTTAAACTTATGACTTTTAGGGTATAACAATTTTCATAATTTTTTCTTGTGTGAGAATTTAGAAATATAACAATCAATCCTCACCACAGCTTCGGAGTTTTGGTGTAATGACATTCATTCTCATACTTCTGACAATTACATTTAATTTTTGAAGCCATTAGACCTTCTCATTTCAATGTACGCTATGCAAGAGATCATAATCATTTACACGTAAGCAAGCAAAAGACTAGACTCATCTCATGTGCCTTACCCGAAACGGCTGCATCAATCGTGGTCACTGCTGTGGCTGTGGCTGCATCAGCAACACTTCTTTTTAGAAGAACAAAAGCTTCTGATAACTTAGACGTGCGTCCTCAAATCTCAATGTAGGAAGTTTAGTAAGTTTTATTTGCTCTTCCAGTTTGCTCCTAACTTCCTGTTTATCAGACAGAACCCTACGAAGCCTTGCGAAGAATGTGGAGGTTCTGGTATCTGTCCAGAATGCAAAGGAGAGGGATTCGTGCTGAAGAAATTGTCAGAGGAAAGTGCTGATAGGGCTAGATTGCTTGCCAAGAACATGGCAACTCGATACACAGCAGGGTATGCTAGATTTTTTGTTTGAGAATTTCTGAAAGTTAAATCAGTGTATGACATTTTTTTATTTTTTATTTTTGGCTATACAGGCTACCAAAGAAGTGGAGTTACTGTACAAAGTGTTCTTCAGCTCGGTCTTGTCGTACATGCGGGGGGACTGGACAAATCAGCTTGTAGGTTTTTTTCATTCTTGCATTAGAAACTACATTCTCTAACCATAGTTTCGATAATGTTATCCTACAATTTACAAAGTTAGAAATGAGCCCAACATGGATATAATCATATATCAAAAGCAGCATCTGGATATGTTTAATACAAGCCTAAGTATATTGATTGCTTGTGCAAAATTTTGTCTGAGTTAACTACCCTCAAATCTTTTTGTCATCTTTTCAACTAAATCAATGCTCTGAATCCGCGGCGGATCTGCGTAATGTCTAGTGAGAATGTCTAGTGGTGTCACAGGGCCACTACTGGGTAGGACACCATTAAAGACTAAAAAGTATAAAATTGTAAAATTGTCAATGTAGATTTCAAAATACAATTATGATAAGTTATATTGGGACATTACTCAAGATAAAATCCTGGATCTGCAGCGGCTCAGAATGGTTTACCTTCTCAATATTTGTCTCATGTTGTTTCGATGTTAACTTAGATTTAAGATTATGCTTGTGTTTTCATATTTTACAATAATGGATTGCTTGAAAATGCACAAAACAAGTTAGTTACTGTTGAAATGTTCAGTTAGAACTGAATTAGATACCTCATGCTCCTTGTTTCTGTGCTGTAGACTTCTTAAGTTTTAATAGAAGGTGGATCTATTACTGGAGAAACTCATGTTTGAGGTTAAAATTATTCTTATTACTATTATATCACAAGAAAAGTTCGACATGTAATTTCAACATACATGCTCTCTAAGTTCTCACTGCTCAATTATTTGAGGTTTATAGCGATTATTCAGTGATGCTACTCATCTCTAAGTTCTCACTGCTCAATCATTTGATGTTTATATTATCTTCGTATGCATTCTTCAAAATTTGCTTATTATTATTTGATTCAAATTATTTCCTAAATTTTTTTATTTCATTAAGATTGTAAATAAGTTGAAAGTTGAAGGCCATAGTTCACTGGTGGGTGTTTGAAAGCCTAAAATTTTAAGCTTGTTGAAATAATTGAACGCACACGAGCAATCTCAAGCTCGATCATTCAGCTTGATTAGCAGCCGTAATAATAGTATATAGACATCCGGCATTTGTTGCTCTGAACTTGTTTCTACATTCGAACATGACATTTATGCCCTGTTTGGATGGAGGGTAGAGAGGGGGAGGGGAAGAGAAATGAGGCTTTCACCTTGTTTGGGAGTTTTTTTAAGGAGGGTAGAGAAGAGGAAGGAAGGGGAAAGGAGGGTAAAATTGTTTGGTTTTCTTTCCCCCCCGATTTGGGCGGTAGAGGAGGGTAAAGGAGGGTAAAGGGGTGTAATGACATTCTTACCCCTATCAAAACAAATAAAAGGGCTGATGTGTTATTAGTATAAAGTCATTTATGTAAATTTACATATATTTACTTCCTTTCACCTTCATTCACCTTACTCAACTCCCAAACAACATATTACAATTCTCTTCTCTTTCCTTCCCTTCCCGTTGTTTACCTTTCCTTCCCTTCCCTTAGTAAACTCCCAAACACACCATTAAAGATTGGATGTTTAAACTGGTTTTTCTTGTTCATTAAAAGAGTAGATACACAGCCACCAACCATGGCATCATACTTATTCTACTGGCATTTATATGTTTATCATTCCAAACTCATCTCTGGTTCAACATTTTATGATTTCTTCTTTCAGAAATTTTAGTACAAAGCTTAGCAATTTGTTGAATGGTTTGCAGATCAAGCTGAAGTTTCAGTTTCACTTGGAGCAAAATGTCAAGGTTGGTAATGGGTGTGATCTACTCCTCATTTCTCCAATGATCACATTGGAGTAGCAGGGCCATGCGCTAAAGATCAAAAGAAATATTTGTAGAAAGTACAGCAACCAGATCGCGAGAAGTCTCATCTGCTGCTGCTCCTTCCTATGTAGATTAGAGTTATTGACATCATATGCCTGCTATCGTTGTGAACTTCTTCTCTAAGCTCGTCATATCACCATCTTTTGTATTTATATGCAGTGTTCTACATTTCGTGATTCACTAGCCTTCATGCTTATCATTACAGTTCACTTTTTCATGATAATTATATGTTTTCTGTAGTTCAGCGGAGCAAATGATTCTGTGGATTTGAAGAAATTATGATGTTGTATCTGAAGAAATTTGAGCATAACTACATGCCCACAATGACGATCATGCGGTTCTCTGTTTTCAATGTTTAGTAACAACCGGGGCTTTCAGTTAAAAACACAGGATTGAGTCTCAACGAGGGACCGTCAGATAAAAATCGATGACTACAAGCGAAATGTCTCCCATGAGCACAAGCCAAATGCGAGCAATTTAATACCTTGTCAAAGTCCTCGCTCATAAGAAAACTCGAGAACTGGAATTTATAAAGGAAAACAACCAACACAATTACCTTCAGGGATCAAGCTATATATCATCCGCTCAAGGCAGGATTCATTTTCTTTTTCTACAGATACAGTCTCTGCTTGATAAACAATTCTGAGATGCAGGATTCATTTTCTTTTTCTACAGATACAGTCTCTGCTTGATATACAATTCTGAGATGCATTGCACGCTACATATCCATGCCATAACCCAACTCTAAACTTAGCAAGCAGAAACAAGGCAGATAAACATGCTAGGTGAGCTCTTCACTTCATAAATAACAACAGCATAAGCACGAGTACAAAGTTCCACAAGATTACACCAAGCACATAAACTTCGCACAACACAACTCCCAACATCTAAACCTAGAATGACGATTACCGACAAATGCCCAACATGAAGTTTCTAATTTCCAATGACAAATGATCAAGTTCACCTTCTCTGAACCGGTTTGTAGAGAACGACAGTAACATACTTTGATCGATAGCGATGTGTGATCCCCAGAGCTACGACTGACCTTGGACTCTCTCTGCTCTCTATATAGAGATGATTCAGAGTCACATTCTGAGGTAAAGGGAGGCTGCTCAAACCGTCTCGGCTAGTTGGAAAGCTCAGCAGGGTGTGCTGTAAGTGAGGAGGCACAAGTGGTGGGTCCCGAGCTTCTTCTTCAACGGTTGGGAGGGGATTGTTGTAGCTTGAGTCGGGAGATCTTGGGACTTCAAAGCCCACAACACTAACCTCTTCCTGCATCAAGATTTGTTTTCTGAGAACATATATCATGTTTGAGCGTGGATCAGTTTAATATTTCTCAAAAAAGGGATCTTACATGTTCTCCTCCAATTGGACCACTCATTCTTTACTACACTGTAGGGCTCAACCATCAATAACTGGAAATAATAGATTTGAAATAGCCTGAAAGAAAGTGAATTGAAGATGACTTATTCTGTGCTTCTAAGACAAATA